TGAGCTATTGCTCATTGAGAGCTTATGATAGTATTCAGATATACATTTATTAACGAGTTTTGTTTTTTCTATTTCTACCAGTATATGTAAACCTTTATGCACAAAGTTGGTGTTATTCTCTTTATATCCCTCAGGAGCAAAGGATATTGGTTTTGGATATAATGAGTTTGAGGTAATTTTATTTTTCAAAACAACGACAACAACAGAATGCCTGTGGAACACCAAAGAGGAATCGTATAATAGGCAGTGCCTAACAGGAACTCCAGAAAGACATTTGGGCTGGAGATAGACACTGGGGATTATTATTATAGGTCATTGTAAAAGTTGAGAGTAAAAATAAAATTAAAGAAGAAAATATGGAATGCTAAGAGGACCGATATCAGTTCTTAATAGATATATGACTTTAAGCCAGTTTTTGACTCCCCCATGCTCATTGTCTTCATCTATGTATAAGGAAAATAATATCTACATCACAAGATCCTTAATACGTGTTGTCTTCTTTCTAGCTTTTTTTGTAGTTTGAACTTCTTTTTAGAAATTATATATAATATTGTTCAATAACAGTTTTAAATTTGGCTTAGGAGTTTATTGGGCAAGAGGCCAAAAAGGGAAATTGTATATACTCCATGGTCCTTACCATTTGTAAGAATGATACAAACCCAGTTTTTTGGGGATGGGGAGCTCATGTTTTCTTGGTATAACTATACTAAATTATTAGCTCTTTTTTTTCCCCTTGTGTATAAATATTTATTTATATAGTTCTTTTTCTGGCTTAAAGTGGGCTTAAACATAGTTGCTTGTTAGGTGTAAATTCCTGTGCTAAATGGTAATAGCCAACAGAAGATTGATTAGTTATTTATGTTGAATTCTAAGACAATTAAAAAATGAGTAAACGTAATTTTTTCTTTTTAATTTTGAGAATGAAATCTCCCTTCCCTCACCAAGTCTGTTGTCTCATTATAATGTTTTTTAACACCTGTCCCAAGCTGTCACTTCCTTTTTTTATGGATGAATTCTTTGTTTTACATCCCAAAGCACTGTTTATGAATCTCTTTCCTCAGGCTTTGTAATAGATTCTGAATTCTCTTTCAGATATAAAGTGACTTATACCAATATAACCTAAATGTATGAAGGAACTGATTGTGAAATTTAACAGCGAATGTGTTAAGATTTAAGTTGAGAATGTTGCATAAGTAAATATAATGCATTCTTATTTTTGTTGCTAGAAAATGATTATTGTAGTAATGAAGGTTAACTGGATTCCATGACTAATTAGCTTGAAATTTGCATTATGTGTAATTAGGTAACTCCTCACTTAAACAAGATTTCATATTCCTTCTATCAAATGTTATTAAAGTTAGAGTTTTAACATCATCAAAAATTTGTTTTGACTACAAATAGCAGAAGTTTAAGAAAATCCCAAACCTCTTTAAGATGAAGATTCAAATTTCTACCCAGACTGCTGGAATACTCTTCTTTTACCACATTTTAATTCTCATTTGAAAGCTGATCATTGTTTTATTGGTGAAAGGAGAGGAGAGAAAAATAAAAAAAAATTGCTTAATACACTGTTCATCTTCTATGGGCCAGTATAATTTAGTTGAAAACCTAACCATCATACATAAGTGTCTTTGGGAAAACGTATTCTGAGTTCCAGGTAGCAAGTTTGTAAGCAAAGTATTAGAACAAGGTCTATTTGTAAATTGGCTACCTTTTTCAAAATGCAACAGATGTTATTTTTATTTATTTATTTATTTTTTAAACACCTACAGCACCTGGTCTTCCTAGGTGGTCTTCTATCTAAGTACTAACCAGGCCCGACCCTGCTTAGCTTCTGCGATCAGAGAAGATAGGGCATGTTCAGGGTGGCATGGCCATAGACCAGATGTGGGTTTCCATGAACTCTTGAATTATTTCATTAATGTATGTTAGTAATATTTTATTAATTTAATTAACTAGTGATCATTTAGGTTATCTATCTCTAAAATTTTCTAATTCACTTAGGACAATTTTTTTCAAATGATTTATTTAGTTAAATTAAGATTCCTAAAATTTTAATGTTCAAAGATATAGCTTTACAGTCAATATTCACTGGTACAGAAAAGTTAGGCAGCATATTTTGGGAGAAAACTTTCCTTAGTAATATCAAGATCCTACCTTAGAGAGTTCAGTACACATGGATTAGGAAATAATTTATTGTAGGAATAAAATTTTTAACAGAAGTTGTCACTTGTTTTTTATCTTTTAAGACCATAGGCTTCTGTTTTGAGTTGTTTCCAGAAGCCAAGGAGTTGAAGAGTGAAAAGTGCTGATAAAACTAGATTACTTCAAAGAAAGTCTTAAATATAGTTTGTGATTAATTGTTTATGTTTTCCTAAGTCAGTTAATCTGTTTTAGTAATTATTGAAATTCCGTGTGGAGTATAACTGCTTTTGAAAAAGTAAAAGGAAACAGGTCTATTAAAAATGTTGACAGAGTATATAAGTAGTTAAATATTCTCGATACAGAGAATTAAAATCTAAAAATAAGTTGTTCAGAGAGAAAAGAGGATAGGCACCATATCTGGTTTTTAAAAACAAAATAAAACCATAAAAATATCTTTTGAAATGGGTAATGACCAAGGATTTGGGCTTTTGTAGGAATTTTCCTTTGTTCCACAAAATATAAGATTTTGTTTGAAAAAATTTGGTGCACTCTTTGAGGCAAAAGATTGCCCACATACTGCTGTTTTGGTTTCTCTGTTGCCAGATAAAGTGAAGTAGCAATTATCAACTTTTTCTAATTTTTTTTTTTATATGACTACATGCATATAATTTGTAAATATATATTTTATAAATATTCAGAAAAAGATCTGGCCACATAAACACTAACCAATAGTATGTTACCTGTGGGACATGGGATATAGAACAGAAAGAAGTAGAACTTTCAGTTTTTTCTCTGCATACTTCTATATTTGAGCCTTAAAAGAAAGAATTCTTTCGGCAGTTATAATCGGAATGAGAAAAGGTTGTATAGGAAAATAAATAATTTAAAAAATTCTTCAATACTGCTGAAGTCCTTGTAATTTAAGGCAGATTTTTAAAAATTGGAGATGTAGAGCTCATTATGGAAACAAATAATATATTATGTATAATATATACAGTATGACCTTTAGAAATATTAAAGTGTTCCATATTACCTTGTTAACTGAATTATCAATGGAGACTACTCTCCAAGACCTTGATATATTGAATATTATTTGTGGCTCAATAGTTTTGAGTATTTTAAAATGCTCCTTGCCTATAAATATCTTTAGTCAGTATAAAGTGTGCTCATTTTCAATTTCTGTAGTTGGATTAATTTTTTCTAACTACAAGATTAGGAGAAATGCACCTCTCCCAATCTTTCCAATCTCAAAGTGAATTTTCTGGTATTTTGTTGATCTTGATAATGACAACTGTGCTCTGTTCTCCCTCTTAGTGATTTTTCCCCTTCTATTTTTTAATGGCCCTATTAAGATAGAGTAATGCAAAGGCGAATGTTAGTATTTTATAAATTATTAATCAAATTAGTAGCTTATTAATTTGATTAATAATTAAAATTTGATTAATAATTAAAATTTCTTATTTCCCTGTTTCTTCTCACTGAGCTTATTTCTTAAGTCAACTACTTGGGAGAAATCAACTTTTCCCTTATTAGAATTTTTCTTTTTCTCTTTGTCTTATATATTTTGTTATGTATAGTTTGAGTACTTACTAACTGTCAGACACTGGGGATAGAGAACAAGATAGTACAGATTCCTGCCCTCATGAAGTATATACATCCTAGTGGAGATTACAGAAAAATCAACACATAAAGAAATAGATAATTTTAGGTAATGCTAAGAAAGGAGTAATTAGGGCTTGTGTGGCCCCAGCATGTATGTAGTTGGGCAAGATTACAACTGGATGACTACATACCAAAATGTTTAAATATTTAAAAGTTATGATTCAAAGTACGTCCTTGGGCAGCCTTTGTTTCCACTCTGCATCCCAAGTTCCCTGCTGTGTGCATCCTCAAGACCAAGAGGCTATAGGAACTGCTCTTTTTTTCCAGCCAGCCTTTCCACTTGCCAGTCTCATAGTAGCATGGATCTGTTGGGACAGGCCAGAGATGATCGGGTGGTACCTGGACCTGGACCCATCTAAAACAATATAAGAACTGATCCCGTCAAATCCCCAGAATTTGGTACAGAGAGGATAACCTCTCCTGCTCCTTTTTTTTCCAAATCAGGACTTCTAAGGTCTTCCCCATATTGTATTACAAAAAAAGAGAGGAGAGAAGGAAGAGTATCTGGGAAACCTGTGTAGGCAATCACTTTGGTTGGCTTTGGGGCAGCCAGTTTTAACCAGTTAAAGTTTTTATAAATAGCCATATTTCTAGGATTTCTTGGGAAAAGCTATGATAATTTTCTCCTTTCTCTACACATATGGGGACACTCTTAAGTTCTTTATCCTCTGGCCTGGGTTGGGGGGGCTCCTTTAGCTAGCATCTCTCCCCTGTGATTCTCATTTGCACGATTGCTTACTGAACTTTGAAAATACTTTTTACAAGGCTGAAAGGGAAAAAAGTCTTGGTTTTAGTGATTGTGGTATGCAGGGCTTTCTTCCCAGGTCTAAGGATGACTGGACTGAGTACTGTTCTTTTACATGCCTCTTTCTTTGACTTCTCCTTATACTGCTATTTCTGAATATTCCTAGTCCCCAACTTAATTTTTTTAATTTGTAAATTTATTTAATTTGAAAACCAAATTGGTATCTTTTGGGATACCTGTGTCTGAAAAGTAAGCTCCAAATGAAAATGGACATTTTCCAAAAGGTTTTTTGTAAGATTTTAAGTAGCTAATTTTTGACCCCCAAAAGCCCACCCAAAGAAGAAAACACCAAAAAAAAAAAAAAAGGCAAACTATATGCAGACTTGTTGTACATTTGAATACTATTATATACATATAAAATATATAAAATTATATTTTCTCTGTATAGGTGTGAAAGTTGTGTGGATTTACTGTTTGTGAGAGGAGCTGGAAACTGTCCTGAGTGTGGCACTCCTCTTAGAAAGAGCAACTTTAGGGTACAACTCTTTGAAGATCCTACTGTTGACAAGGAGGTTGAGATTCGGAAAAAAGTGCTAAAGATGTAAGTATTATTGCTTTAATGATTCAGTACATAAAGAGGACAGTTATTGCAATAATTGATATAATTATTTGCTGACAGAAATGTGGCAAATGAATAAATAAGTATAATTTCATCTATGTATTTTTTCAACAAACATTAAGTTCTTAGAGAACTCAGTAATATTAATTATCTAACCTTTGTTAGAGTAGACCTGCTTCATCATGGCTTTCCAATTCATTTATTTGCTGTGTATTCCTTAATTTAATTAACAAATAATGTTAAATACCTACTGTGTGCAAACTGCATCATACTTATTATCTACTACTTACTAAATGAGTTAAATAACTATGAACCTTGCCCTCAAAGGCTTAAATATAGTAGCATATGATAGCATAGAGGTAGATAATTAAAACAGGCAAACAAAATAGTTGATTGTAAATTGAGAAAAATGCTGTGAAGTTAGTAACTGAGTTTTGGTGTGGATCATTGATGTCAGATAAGGCCTGTGGAGGTAATGTTTAAGTTGAAATTTGAAGGCTATTAGAGAAAATCATGTGTTAGCTATAATTTAATTTGATATATATCTCTATGTATGTATGTGTGTGTACATACTTTTTTTAAATTTATAATTTAGTTTTTTACTCTTAGTAGTTTTGGGTTTTATTTTATCTGTACTCTTGTTACAAATCACCTTATTGTTTTTGAAGTTTAAAGAATACATATATTCAATTTATTATTGTTTTATTTATTTATTCATTCATTCATTCATTTATTTATTTATTTATTTTTGGTGGTTGGGTGATTTCAACCTTGGCCACCATTGTTTTATCAACATCTTTCTAGATACTTAACCAGTGTTACTATATCAATGTTCCAAGCTGTTCTTTTATTATTTGGATTACTTCTCGGAGGTAGTTTCTCTTAGATTTTTATCATTTTTTTCATTAACACCTGTGGTTTTCTAATTATTCATGGGCATATTCAATATTTACAGATTTTCCTGATCTAGCATTCCTTAGACTATAACTGTCATGAAAAACAGAAAGTTCTTTTTTTGAATTAATTTTTAGCTTTCTGGAAATTAATTAATCTATAAGAAGGAAACATTATCATAATTTCCAGTGATAGACCTGGTTTAAGTTCATTTTCCATTCCTTCAGGGTCCTATTTTCTTTTTCTTTCTTTTTCTTTCCCTTAAGTCTTAAAAGGATTTTGCATATTGTACCATTTTCTCCTGATTCTACTCCTTCTCTGTAGTGACTATATGAATTTAAGAACAACATTCTTGGTCTGGTTGCAAATCTGGTGTCGAGAAAACAGTATTTTACATAGTAAGCAATCCTTTTCTATGTATCATGTGTGAATTAAGTAAGAAGAAACAAACTAGTTAGATAATACTGAAAGCAAGTGATAAGTGACATGTTGATTTTTTTTTCTCTTAAAGATATAATAAAAGAGAAGAAGACTTTCCTAGTCTAAGAGAATATAATGATTTCCTAGAAGAAGTGGAAGAAATTGGTATGTTTTTAATGCTTGAACTTTTGGTGTGCTAGCCTATGTGCTTCTATCCTTTAGATGCCTAGGAGAACATTTCACAACTCTCTAACAAGTTTTGTTGTGATAGCTGATGTTTACCTAATTACTTTTGCACTTAAATCATGTTTGTTAAGTTGGAGGTATACTTAAGTAAAGGACATATTTTTAGGTAATAAACATTTCGTCTTAGGAAAAATATGATGAATGAAGGTACTACCACTTTATAGCTGGGAAGGAAGGCTGTATTGGTATGCTGCTGATGTTTTAGAGTAAACAAAAGGAAAGAATATTCAGATTTTTAAAACATAGGGTTTCCATTAACTATATTCATGGTGACTAAAGGCATATATTGTTTATCATCATTTATGCTTCTGTGTATACAGTAGTTTCAAAATACTTTGAAACAGTTCACTGTTGAAGTGGCATTCTATTCCTCAGTGTTATTCTAGAATCAGAGGTTAGAGTAATAATCTATGTGCCTTTTCTTTCTGTTGTGATTAGTTAGAAGGATGCTTTCATCAAAAGAAAGTATTGTTTCTGTTTTCTTAAATAATATTTCAGAGATGTTAAGAAGTCTGGAAGTTGTTATATAGCAATTAAAAAAATTAGTGGTGTTTTTTTAAAGTTGCCATAATTATTTTTACTCAATACATGTTTTGAAATGATACCAAAAAAATCATAAACTGTGAAAATTTGAATGAGACTAAGAGAATTAAACAGTCATCTTTTTTTCTTCTCAAACTTGATAGTCAAGCCATACTAATATTATTACTTATTTAAATTAAATGATTATAATTAAATTGATAATTTTTGAGAAGGCTTATATATGATAAATTTTTAGAAAACTTAAATTCCTAAGGAATGAATTATGCTAATTCCTTTTATTTCTTTATTAACTGAGAAAAACCCAGAAAATCTTTATATTTCAACTATTGCTGAAACTTTTCTAAAATATCTAAGTTCATTTGTTATGTCATAGCAAATAGCATTTACAGAACATAATTTAGGCTTTTTCTGGGGTCTTGTAGTGCATTGGAGCCATTGTTTTTTCATTCTAATTGTTCCTCACACTTTGTATATAATCTTAGCAACCAATAATGGCTATGGATTTTAACTGAAAAGATGATGGAATTGGGAGTGCCAAGGCAAGATAGAAAAGTTAGGACTGAGAAGATAAACAAAAAAGAAATTGTAAGAACTGGGCAAGTATGCAGATATGTAGAAGTATGGGTATACATAGACGTTAAGTATAGGATAAATAGTCTGGCCAGGTAATAAAGAGAAAAGAGATAATAGATATCACAGAGCATGTTCAATACATGGTCACAAGTCCAAGCAGTCAGGCAGGATAACTAAAAGAAACTGATGGATAATGAAGGTGGGGAAGATAATGAAGGTGATTCTGGAACAAGGTTGTCATTGAACCATGATTTAAAGGAAAAAAAAAATACACACACACACACACACACGCACACACACACGCACACACACACATACACACACACACACACACACACTTATTTATTTATTTATTTACTATGAGATGAATTAGTTTGAAGATATGAACAACCTGGGGCCTATGTCCAGAAGTCGGAGCTAGGATTGACAGTTAAGAGCACATTTAGATGTTAGAGCTATACAATATGTAATCCTTTCTTTACCAGATAAGGAAACGGTGGTTCAGAGCACTTAATTTGAAAGTGATTCTACTATTATGCATATTTATGAAGGGCTGTCTTCAGTTGCAGTATGTTCAAACTCTCTTAATCAACCTCCACTTAATTGACTCATTAGAGTGACTGACGTTTCTCAGGTTTTCTGTAAAATGTACTTACTGATGCCTGAAGTGTGATGACTATATCATGAATCCTGTCCATTAGAAGAGGTCCTCAAGTACACCTCTCTACTCCTCTTACTAGTTCAGTTATATACCATAAGTTGGTTGCATTGGTAACCAAACTGTCTTTTGCCAGTGGTACTTGTTATCGTAATTATGTAATTTAAAATTAAGGTTGGGGAAAATTGCAAAACCTCAGAAGAATTCTGCTTCTCAAGTTCTTGATTTACTTTAAAAAAACCAGAAACTGAACAATATAGATGACAGTTATGGTTTATACAAGATACTCCAGTTCAAGACTAGACCTTGGCTATATGTAGTTAAGTTAGAAAATGACTATACACTTACTGAATATGTTTTAAGTTAAAGGGTTGAAGGAGTATGTGTTTCCCTCGTTTAACAGATTTTTCTAAATAATCAATTACTAATCTTGATTATGTTGGGTAAAAAGCAGTTCTCTTGTATTTGAAGATATTAATGAGGTTTGGGACCTAGTCTCATGGACTTATAGTTTATTTTCTGAACTTCAGCTCAGTTTAGCAAATATTAATTGTTTTATGTGAACTGCTTTACTTGCTGAGGATATATGATCTTTGCCTTCAATAATTCAAACCTTAAAGGGAGAGAGAATTATGTAAACTGATAACTATAATGTGAATGCGTATAGGCATTTATTTATAAAGTGTTATAGGAATACAGATAACAAAATAATTTAGCATTAAGAAATAGAGGTGTAGTTTGTTGATGTTCAGAGAAGAGGTCACATTTGAGTTTGATCTTAAAAGATGAATATGAGTTTACCTGGTAGAAAAAGGATGGAAGAACCATTCGTAGCAAAAGACAGTCACAGAGATACAGGTATTGAGCATGTTGGAGAATTAGCACATAATCTGTTATAAGTAGATAAAACTGAGTAATGACTAGAAATGAGGCTCAAAAAACAGACTGGATCTTGCTTGGTTAATGAGGGCTTTGTAAGCTAGGCTGTCAGGGTAAGAATTTATTCTCTGAACAATAGTGAGCCAGTGGAATGGTGTGGTAGTGATGTGGAATATTGACAGGAGATACTCAAGGCTCGGAAACCATTTTTAAGGGGCCATTACAGCAATTTAGATGAGAAATAATGAGAGCTTGGATTAGGTAGCAGGGGTCATAGATAAAGAGGATGCTCTAGAGATATAATTTTCAAATGACTAATTTGACATAGGAAAGAGCAGGCAAGGATGAATTAAAATAAGCTGACCTTGAGCAGTTGTATGGTATTTATCAGGAAAATAAAAGCTGGAGAATAGGCAGTATTTTTTATTGTTTTGTTTTGTTGAATGGAAAGTGTAGAAATGAGGGAAAAACTAGTTTTTAGCCCTTTTAATTTATGTTAGGGTGTGGTTCCACCACTTAGTTGTGTCATTGTTTTGATTGTTGTGGTATAAATAAAACTTCCTTTTAAAATCTTGTTTCAATAGCTATTTACTTTGTGTTTTATATATGCTTTTAAAGATGGTTAGTTAGATGTTTGTTATATCTGTATTAGCCAACTGTGTTAATCAAAAGTATAAAATGTTAATTTCATAGGCATCTGCTAAGTGCTAGACTGAGCTGTACTCGTATTATCTCATATAATTTTTACAACTCTAAGATTAGAGAAAGGCATTTTTATCCCTATTTTGCATATGGAGAAGAAGCAGAGAGAGATTAAGTACTGTGCCCAAGAACACATTGCTAGTAAATAATGGTGCCAAATTGTGAACATAGGTTTTTCTGACTCCCAGAGCCCATGAAAGTGCTTGACAGTGTCCAAGAGTAGTTAGTAGTCTGAATCTGGAACATGGGGTGCTGATTGATAGAATAGTGGGAGATGAGGCGGGGGAAAGGTCGGTTTTGGGTATATTTTGAAGGATCTTAAAGAAGTTAGAACTCAAATCTTACAGGTAGAAGGGTGCTCTTGAAGATGTTTAGGCCTAGAATGAGAAGGATGAAGTTGTTAGGGTGGCTAAGGAATCAGTGTTTGAGAACTTATAAATTGGAGATTAGTGTGATTTGGTTATATAAATTTTGTTATGAATCCTTTGAACATCACAAATATACAAATTTAGAAATACTACAATTTTGAATAATGGCATAAAATTACAATATAAGCGGCACACATGAAGATGAACTTTCTTATAGCGTTAACAATAGGCTCTTTTCTGTGGTTATGACAATCTAAACATAAAAATTCTTGTTCTTTTGGCCCCAGGGATTATCTCAAAGGTTTGTTCTTAGTTCCATAATAAACAGATTATTCTTTTGGTTCAGAGTATGCTTATTTTAAAAGGGTGAGAAAGTCCTAAGGGCTTTAATTATGAATTCTAGATGTCAAAAAGACTTCAAAATTGTACTTAAGTAACATTAAATCTTTCAGAAAATACAATAGGTTTTTTGTTGGCTTTTAATACTTGACTAAAGGCAGGTCAACATCTGAGCTAGACCAGTAACCAGAGAAAGGGCCAAGTGATTCTATAGAAAATTATCTCCTATTCCTTTTTCTTCAAGGCTATTATACCAACCTGATTCATTGTGGGAGTGAATGAGACTTGCTTTATGTGAAAAGTCTTTAAAATAGTAATCCACTTTTGTGTTTTTTTTCTTCTTTTTAAAAGAAGAGATTTGTATTATTTATGATTATGATTCACATCTGTTATATTGCTATTACCTTTGCCTTCTAAATAAAAAAATGAATTAAATTGGTTATTTTAGTTTCATTGGAATTCATCAAAGTTTATAATAAGCATAACAGAAAGAAATTATATGTAAACAGTTAATTTTACCTAGAATCTGCCTTCAAGGGACACTCTAGTGGGTCAAATAGATATGTACATTGAAAATAATTATACAGGGTAGAAAGTGGATATGCACTACCAGAATGATATTAGGTAACATATTATGGGCTTTTGGGTTGGAAAGATTGTACCTGCAAAGTGATTTATAAGGAAGATTTGGGGATTAATTGGATATAGAAGGGTGGGCCAGATGTGGATATCCACAGTTGTTCTGGGTTGTGGTTGGTACTAAGATAGGCCTTCTGGGAGCAGTTTGATTATAGGTATGGAGGTAGGGAAGTGTGAGGCCTGTATAGATGCAGAAGAATAGCTGAACTGGACCAGAAGTGGTTTTTTAGGAGCTGAGAGAAGCAATACAACTAGTATTGTAGAAAAAAGTTCAGGCTTTGGAATCAGCCTAGGTTAAAATCTTGGTTCCATATTTACTAGCTGTATACCTTGGATGTAGTTATTTAATATTTTTAAACCTTATCTGTGAAGTGTAATACTTATAAGGTTGTTAGGATTAAGCAATGTAATTTGGTCAAATGCTGGACATAACTCTGTCATATGTATTTTATAGATGTTTGATACACGCACAGCTTATAGAGTATATAACTCAAGCAAAATTTGAAGATCACTTCAAGTAAATAGATGAGGGAAAGCCACTCTGTTTGGAATTGCACTCTGATTGGAATTGCTTGGTCTCTCTTACCCTTGCTTCTTGAAGAGGCTCTGGGGAATCTGCAGAACTCATAAAGCAGAGAGAGAAAAGTGGTGTGAGAGATAAGATTGGATTTTTTTTAGGGCCTTATGGATGTAGAAGCAATGAGTGAACTTAGTGACTCATGACTGAATAACATAATCTGAACTTTGTTTTAGAAGGGTTATTTGGTAGCTGATTCCATTAAAAGGAAGGACAGTTTATTCCTTTAATAAACATTTATCTACCAACTAGCACAGTGCTAAATATTTCTTAATGGATGAAGCAAGGATACTTTTAGTTTTCCCCTATTATCACTTGATCGTATAGTGTGTTGTATTATTACTTTAATTTTATGTATGTAGGGGTGATCTCCCTAATAAGAGTGTTAGTCTTTGGAAACGGGAAGTCCTTTTGTATGCTCACAACACCACAGTATTGGGAACTTAATATATAATCGTTAAATTCTTTTCTCATTTCCTATCTTTCCTTTATTTCTGGATGATATAAAAATTGTATAAAATATAATCTTTGAGTACAAGATAAAGTGCAAAGTAAAGAATGCTATGTATGTGTGTACAAATCATGTAAAACACAGATTTTTACGAGCTGTAAGTAATGTTTTCAACATTTATAAAAGAAAGAAGTTATTTCTTGTTGGGAAATCAGGGAGCACTTCATGAAAAAGTATTTGGGTAGACACATTAAGATGGGTATATTTTCAGTAGTAAGAAAGGGGGATCAGGCATTTTAGGTACAATGGTGTGATCAAAGGAATTGGAGCAGGAAGTGTGGGGGACATTTGGGAAATGCAGAGCTGTCTAGTTTCTTTATTAAGGGGAGATGAAAGTAGTTATAGCCAGATTGTTAGTTTATAGCCAGTAGTTAATAGCCAGAAGGGTTCTGGATTCTGAAAGTCTTTGATTTTTTTTTTTTCCTAGCAAAAAGAAAGAAGGTAGAGGGGACGAGAGATGGAAGGATGGTAGAGGTGGAAGATAATATGAAGTACGCTTCAGAAGTATTAATCTGGCAGCATTGTATATTATCGATGGGGTTAAGATATAGGGTAAGATGCAAAGACTCTGGAGGTAGGAAGTTAAATAAAGAGATTATAATAAATTATTCAGGGAAAAATAAGATCCTGACTTGGTGTATTGGCAGGGTACCTTGAGATTAAGGTCAGTTTTAAAGAAATATTGGTGGTAGAGTTCTGTGGGATTTGTCAACTTGTGCTTGTGGAATGCAAAGGAGAGTAGGTCAGATGAATGAGTGTTAAATATTGGTGTTTTAGCATGATAATCCTATCATTAACAGATAAAGAATTTTCAAGGAGGAGCAAATTTGGAGATGGTTATGTGTTTGGTTTTCTAAAATGCACTCTGAGATACTCTCAGCTTTTCCTGGCATTTATTTGATTGAAACTTGGAAGTGATGAGATTGCCCAAGGAACATGGAGGAAAGAGGGCAAAAGCCAGTGATAGAGATTACTTAGAGACCAAGAAGTGCCAGATGGAAATAAGATGAGTATTTGGAGCAGTAGGAGGAAGGTAGATCAGGAGAATATTAACAGATTGGTCAAGGGAAAAAAGTAATCAGCATTGTTAAGTGCACACAGATATTGAGGATAGTGAAGGTTGTGAAGGATTATTGAATTTGGATGACCTGTTAAGTATAAAGAGTAAATTGTGAGTGGTTGGCAAAAATAGTGGACTCCGACAATATTAACTAAAGGATCACAGTTGCCTTGCTGAGGGCCATTGCTGTTGGGAGTTAGTTTTCTTCCCTGTTTTGTGTTGGGGCCAGAATGTCATTTACGGAGAATGCCCTGCATTGCATCCTAGCTAGATTTCCTGGTTTACTGCCATTACTACTTTCTTTTCTACTTTGTGGTAAAAAAAGCTGGAAAAGTATCTAGAAGTCTATTATCGCTCATTTTCTCTAATTTCTCCCAGAGTTTTAAAACTACGTATAATAAAATTGAGGGTTGCTTTTATTTTCCTACATATCTAAATGAGCCTGGATTTTCATCAGTGATTATGATAAATTGATATTTTGAAATAAGTTGGGCTTTTGAAGAGAGAAAAAATGGATTTGTGGATTAGATTGGTCTTTCGAATGTGTTTGATGGCCTTATTCAACAAAACAGGTAGCCCCATGTTGAGCCTCCAATATTACTTTTCAAATCTTATAGGACTCTAAAATCCAAAACTCTGGGAATTATTTTAGATGGTTGTTTAGATAGAGTGAGATGGAGAAGGAATTTTAGAAACACAGAATAGAGGAGTTGTTTAGGGTAAATCAAACTTGTTTATAGGACAAGCAGTAGGAAGCAGTGGTAATTGGAGCAGGGGTAGAAGGGCTAATAACGGATAGAGAAGATTACAGAGGAAGCCAAGGAAGGTCTGAATTGAATTATGTAACAGGAGAGTCTTAATGATACAGATCCTTCTTTAGATAGGCTGATGCAAACACTGTAAGGGATGGGTGAGTAGGGCTATACAGTATAATATGAATTTTGTATATACCAAAAGAGGTGGGGTTTTTTTTGGTTCAGAATATTATAGCAACCTTTTGATTTATATATGTAAACTTAGAAGGGAGTAAAGCATTTGTAATTCAAATTATTTTCAGTTGGAATTGTAAAAAGACAAGTCTATCTCATTAAGAACTTAGCATATATTTTAACATGTCTCAGCACCTTCTATGAAATTATTTCAGTTTTAAGTTTCAGTGCCAGTTTATCCTTTACCTTCCCTGTTAAGTTTCAGCTTTTATCTGTTTCATACTTTTCCAGCTCTAGCCTGTATGAGAAATAATTCAAGCTATGACTAGTCATGTTGGAGACCATTAGAATGTAAATAAACCTGTTTTTTTAAAAATATAAATTATATAAGTATATGATTTTTTTTTATTCTTTTGGATAGTTTTTTCTGTTTTTGGAGCACAGAATCTTTTTTACCCCACTATTATTATTTTTATATTTTTTATTAGTTTCAAATATGCAGTACATTGGTTAGACATTTTATATAGTTTATAAAATGATCCCCCCAATTGCTCCTTCTCTTCTCTGGTTTTCCACCTCGCCAATATATTCATGCTAACTGCCTTCCCTATGCTGGGAGCACAGAATCTTTTGAGTATTGATTCTGACCAGTATAGTAGCTTCCATACCTACTCTTTTTATTAAAAAATTTTAAAGCATTCTTTTATATGCTTTTAAAGTTAAAGTGGGGACTATAAAAATCAAATTTAATGTGATTATGGCAAGCACATATTTTGTGATAGTCTGACAGTTATTTCCATATATTTGGCTCAGAAAACATAGTTGTTGAACTAGAGCTAGTTTCTAAAATAGATAGATAGCACAAATTGAGCTGTAAGAAATGACAGCCTAATGAGTTAAGAAGTCATTGTGATGAATAGTTGGTTTTTATTATCTACTCAAAATTTATATTAAAACTATATTTCATGTCATTGTTTCCTTTTTGATGCAGTTTTCAACTTGACCAACAATGTGGATTTGGACAACACCAAAAAGAAAATGGAGATATACCAAAAGGAAAACAAAGATGTCATTCAGAAAAATAAATTAAAGCTGGTTGGTTGCTAAGTATTTTCTTCTTCTTTTGTATTAGAAATGAATGCGGCTGCATGATATTTAAAAAAACTATTCTCTAAAAGTAGTTATATTTATGAAGAATCTAACTGTAGTTTAGGCCAAAAATACTAATATATGTATGTAAGCATATAGGTAGGAAGCACATATTACTGTAGCAAAAACAATGTTGGTGGCATTATTAAAATATATTCTGTAAAGGAGAAGTAATTGTATGCATGCAGAGATTTAATTGTCTAATTTATACAATTTGGCTATTATTTCTTTAGTATAATTTGGCTTTCTAGTTTTAGGGAAAAACAGAATTAATTATTTTTGAGGTACTTTATTAGGAGTTTGTAATCATTGATAAAAATGATACAAGTATATTTGGATCACATAGCTTGTATTTTCATCTTGTGTTTATAAGGCTTTCCTCCTTATAGTCTGAGAGTGTTTCATTTAGGCACTTCTTTTCTTTCATATAGCTCTCAAAGAATTCACACTATAGTCTCATTCCATTCAAACCCAGCTTGGCTTCTTTAAAAAGTGCCTTATTTCTGAGAGTATCAATGTGTCCTAAAATTACTGTCTGCTCAGTAGACTTTGCTGGGTACATCAGAAAATACATGCAAAATAGGTATGCCTAGGTAACTTGTTGTATTAGTCTTATTTAACTCAATAGTGGAAGGTTGTTCCTTTCAAGTGAGTGCTTTTTTCATTCATAGTTTTAAGCTAGGAAATAATACTGAGAGTTGCAATGAAAGAATAATTTTAGGCTGGTTATATTATTTTAGAGTAGAAATTTCTAATTATATGAAAACTTTTTAATGATTGATTATCGAATAAAACAAGTACTTTATTTCATTTATGTTACGATGAGGTTAGTTGGACTGCTTCTATTCTTATTAATTTTTAGCACCTGGGTATGTTATAACTAAGTTTTTTGTCAGTAATTCATTATAATATATTGATCATTGTGATACTTATCAGGGTATTTGATATTGGAATAAACATACATAGAATCATATTTTTAAAGATTTTGATAGTTAACATAGCTATATAAATAATTATGATATCAGTGGGTGGAGCCCTCAAGTAGTCCATAGAGCATGAACTAACTGACATGGATGATGTCTTTTTACTAGTCTGAGGCAGCAACTTGCCTTTAATGTTTTGGTGAATGTTGAAGTCTCACTGTTTCAGAAACATGAGTTATATCAAAGAAGGAAAGAAAAAAGCAATCTCTTGGATGATTAGGCACATAGAATGACCCATTTCTGATGTAGACACTGAGTTGTCTGCAAGGAGATCTTATTTGTTTCATGGAGCTGGCACCTAACATTGATCAGTATGAGCATGCAGAAACTGAATAAAAGTGATCTAATTTTGAAATAATCTTAGTGAAGTTTAGCTTAATTTTTATTTTCAGTTTTCTGGATTCCCATGAGCAGGAGAGATTGCTACATTAGAATGTCTTATCAATTTAGCACACAAAAAAATTCAGTTCAGTAAACATTTGTTGAACATCTGCTGAGGATATAGTATACAATGATGAATAAAAACCCTGGTTCTCTAGTGACAAGATAATATAATGTCATAAGCACATAGAAAGTGCTCTGTGCTTATTATTATGGGAGTGCATTCTGGGAAAATTGGGACAGTCATTCCAGGCAGAGTTATGCCTGAATGGAGCCTTGGAAGACAAGTAGAAGTTACTAAGATTGAAAAGGTGAGATGAGTTAAGGGTAGGGAAGCTGCCACAAGGACATTCCAGGCAGAAAGAAATCATGAGCAAAGGCAAGAAAATATGGATAATCTTAGAGAGTTCTGACAGTTGTAAATAGTTCTGTATTGCCAAAGTTCAATAGAGAGAGTTGGAGAAATAGAAAAGGCCTAGGCCACCTAAGACTTATGTATTGTGAAAATTAATTTGAGCTTATATAGATGAGTTGTTTTTATATTTTAGCAAGTGAACCTTTTTTTCAAATGAAAGCTTGCTTATAATACTTTGGTTAAAGTGATAATGGGAGGAGAGAGAGGCTAGATTCTCATCTGCTCAATCGTTACTGTAGTGTACCTCAAGGCATTTTATTAGGGAATTCCCAGGATTCCTTAGAGTAATGTTATAAGAATCTGGCTGTTGATGATTGTCATTGAAGAGTTTCCAGATTATTAGAATAGATTTAGTGGTTTTGTGGAGGTTGAATTTTGAGAGGATCAGGTGTGTTCAGGAGCCCAATGGGAGGTTATTGCAGTCATGTAGGTGAGTTCAGAGGTGACCTAAACAGGAATGGAGAGGTAGGGATGAATTAGAGAAATTATATATATTTGTTTAATAGTGACATTTGTTAATGCAATCCAATAAGTTTCAGGTGTCTACTTTAACAATAGGGCATATATATATTTATACTGTGTATTCACCTCCCATAGTTAGATTTCTTTCTGTCACCACAATATTTGATGTCCTTTACCCGCCTACCTCCCCACTTCCCCCACCCCCTACACTCTGGTAACCACTAGTCTATAGTCCATGTCCATGACTCTCTATTTGTTTGTTCTGTTCATTTGTTGCTTTTAGGTTTATATCCCACATATAAGTGAAATCATGTGATTTTCAACTTTTTCTGTCTGGTTTATTTTACTTAGCATGATTATCTCAAGGTCTATCCATGTTGTCGCAAATGGCAGTATTTCATCTCTTCTTATAGCTGAGTAATATTCCATTGTATATATGTACCACAGCTTCTTTAGCCAATTATCTATTGTAGGACACTTCGGTTGCTTCCATGTCTTGGCCACTGTGAATAATGCTGCTAAGAACATTGGTGTGCAAATGTTAGAGAAATATTTTGAGTTTTAAATTGCAAGTATTACGGATGGATATGAAATGGGAGGTGACCGCAAGGGAAGTTGATTGGGTAAGGTGGCGCTATTAGGAGGAACACAGAGACTTTTAGTCTTTCATCCTGCTTCCTTTCTTTTAGTCCAATACCTTCTTCACTGCCTGCCCCACCCAGTGTTTGATTTTTAATGATGGTTATTTTTCCAGTTATTCAATCAGCTAACTATCCAACTAGTATTTATTGAGGTCTACTATGTACAAAATACCCATATACTCTATTTCAGTGAGAAAATGGAGGCTACCAGTTCCTCATTACCAAACCCAATAGACTGTTTATTGGTCCAAGTCTTACTGGCTTGTAGGCAGTGTTTGCTGTAGGCTTCTCCCTTGATGTTGAAACTCTTCTTTAACTTTGGTAGGGCCACTCCACTCTCCTCATCCTGCTTTTCTCACTTTCTTCTTTCGTCCTTTTAATAGGCTTCTTTCCTTCTTGAGGTTCCTCTCAGTGCTTCTCTTTATGAGTTACTCCTTTATGCTGATTACTCTTAAATGTTTCTGCCGCCCATTATTTTTCTCCTGAGCTCCTAGAATTATATTATGTAATATGTCCATATATCTGTAAATGGTTAATAGACATTTCTTCCTGGATGTATTATAGGTACTTGTAATTCAGTATTCCAGAAATGAACATTTTGATCTTCACGGTTACACCTTTTTCTCTTATTATGTTCTTTATCCAGTTGTTCACGCCATAGCTGCTTAGTCTTCTGGTTCTGTTGATAGTCTCTCTTAATCATTTTTTAAACCTGGTTCCTCCTCTGATTCTATTATTATTGCCTTGTTTAGAGCCCTCATCATTTCTTATCTGGGTTATTGAAATATTTTTCTAACAAGTCTTCCTGTCTTCAGTCTTGAACTCCATTGATCTGTATACTTCACTGCTTATAGTCATCTTTCTAAACCCATCCCTCAGATTTCCTTATTTCTTCCCAGTTGCCTTATATGTTACAAATTCCCTTAGTATGGTAGGAAAGACCTTTCACAATCTGCCTGCTACTTGCCTGTCCAGCTTTATCTAGAGCTTTCCCCTACCCCCATACATCATGACTTGGCCATAGCAAGCATTCCAGCCTGATTCATGTCTTTACATCTTCGTTTTTTCTGCCTATATGGCCATTCTACTCTCCAGTGGGGCTAAATATCTGCTGTTTGAAGTCTTAGCTCAACCTCCATGTATTAATTTCCTAGGGCTGCTATAACAAATTACCACAAACTGCGTGGCTTATAGCAACAGGAATTTATTCTCTCATAGTCTAGAGGAGGCTAGAAGTCTGGAATCAAGGTGTCATCAGGGTCATGTTTGCTGTGAAAGCTCTAGGGAAGAATCCTTCCTTGCCTCTTTTAGCTTCTGGTGGTTGCCAGCAGCCTTTGGCACCACTCTGTCCTCTGTCTCTGTCTTCACATCGCCTTCTTTTTGTGTGTGTGTCCAAATTTCCAGTATGATCTTAACCTGTTTACATCTGCAAAGACATTTTCCTAAAAAGATTATATTTGCAGGTACCAGGGCTTAAGACTTCAACATATATTTTGGGAAGACACATTCAACCCACAACACTCTGTATGAAATCTTTTCTGACTCTACTTGTCCTCTGTCATCACAAGAAGAATTTACTACTCTCAATTCTATTCTCACTGTACCCTATGTGTATGTCTCTAACACTTGTCATACTTAATTGTTTATAATGTTACTGCTTCATTGTGAGGCTCATCCCTTTCTGCTCTTGGGCCTCTAATCAAGTAGTTCACTTTTCTAGCCCTCATATCTTAGCCCCTGACTTTTTATGTTTATTCCTATTAATCTTTCTAGATGAAATTTGAATTCTCTTCTCCACTGGGGGCCTGAGTTAGAGTAGCAGCCTCAGTACTACAAGAGGAAAAATTTGTAAAATTATGGGGAGAGATGCCAATAGAACTTAGTGACAGATTTAATTTAAAGGGAATGGCAGGGTGGGAAGATGGTATAAATAAAGATGACTTTGAGTTGACTGAGATATAGGTGTGCATTTAGCAGAAATAAGAAATATGGGAGGAAGATCAGCTTTGAGAGACTAGTTGCTAAACTTAATTTTGGTTATACTGAGTTTAAATTATAAGTGAAACATCTTTTTGCACAAGAACTTTTGTTTTTTGGGGGAAGTTTATCTAATGTGTGAAATGAAAAAAATCCAATAGTGTGTTTTAAATATTATTTTAATATACTTTTTTTCTGAGATCTCTGTTAATTCATATGTAAGTGATCCCCAAACTTATTATGTTAGCTCCCTCCATTCTACATTTGACTTAAGATACCATAAATGCTCAATGTTCTGTTGAATTAAAAAAGTACTACAATATTTTCAAGAGCAAGAGTCAAGGTTTTAAAATAAAGCCATTCAGATTTTACTGTATTTTTTATTCATAAGATTTAAAGAGCATAGACTAGGTATTATATACAGCTTTCAAGTATGAGTTAGAGTCAGAATAAATTTTAGAGCCTGGAAGTATTTAATATTTCTGAGGAACTTCATAAAAGGGAAATAAGTAGACCTGTAGTTAATTCTGTGTGCATGTTAGCTTTGAGTTTTGAGTTTTTTAGTCCACAAAGAGGACTCTTGAAATTTATATGCTTGTGTTAGAAAATAACCTCAGTTTTTTAAACTTATCTTAATGAATGCTATTTGGAACTCTAGTAACATAAAGATTTATTTCAGCTTTGGGAAAAGGAAACTTAAGTATTGTGGTAACTTTTCATTATCTTATATGTTCTAGAAATTGTTGCTATTAAATAAGCCAGCCTTTTAAGTGGAGTATTTCAATCATTAGTTCTGTGTGGAGATTGTTGTTATTTTTGTTTCCTTTTTTTTTTTCTCATTTAATTCCTTAAAATGAACAACTTAACTCTTTATAACAATTATAAACAAACCCATTCTTAAGCACAGTTCCTATCCTACTGCAACTAGACTCAGTGTACTTTGTTAAGGTGTTTGTTTTAGTGCTAGATGTTATTCTTTTTAATAGTAATGCGTCTACATGAAATAAAAGGATTTCTAGTTCCTTTAAAGTGAAATTGCTGTACTATTAAACAAAAAGTGACGAGTGTGTTTTATGCTTCCAAAAAAGATAGAATCAGAATATGGTATAGGATTGTTGTTAGTTACTAAACTTATTCCATGGCATATATAAATGCTTCTGTTTTAGACCCGAGAACAGGAGGAATTGGAAGAAGCTTTAGAGGTAGAACGGCAGGAAAATGAACAAAGAAGACTATTGATACAAAAAGAAGAACAGCAGCAGCAGATTCTAAAAAGGAAGAATAAGCAGGCTCTTTTAGATGAACTGGTATGTATTAATGCTAACTGTGGGGAAAAAATCATTAGTTTTCAGGGTTTATCTTTACTATTTTGCTGGATAATGGCTTTAAGTGGCACTTCTGCAGTTTGTGCTGGTACATTCAGATTCTATTTCTTTATTTTTTTTAAAAAAACTTGTCAACATCCATTTTATTTCAGGTGAGAGAGTAATGTTTAACTGACATAATCCAGCGCAGTATTAATAATTTTTTTTATACGTTTCTAAGCTTACTGACTAAAGCACATTGCTTTCAGAGCATTTTTCTCATGATTACTACTGGTTTTCTAGTAACTGGCTCATTTTTAAGTGTTTCAGCTTCATGCTGAAGTTTGTAGTGACTCTGGTTACTCTGTGACAAGTATATTTCATATTTTTGCATGAAAAAGAATGTATTTGGAAAAAATGGTGAAGTTCTGCAAATTATTGGTGTCTTCCAGCAATTAGCTCCCCAAGTAGTTGAAATTGTTAGATAACAGCAATAATAACTAGGATTTATGAAGTGTTTTGTAGATTTCATATGTTAGTTGATGCTTATAACCCTATGTGATATTGATGAATTTAAAACTGGAAAATCATCCTCTCTAGGAAAGTCCTTTTGCTTTCTTCCCTATCCTTTTCTGTCCACATAATTTCCATGAGATGTTAACACACTTAACTCCTCAGTCTAATTGATCTACTGTTTGTTATTCTTTGATCTGGTAAATGTGTATGTATATATTTTCCTACTGCGTTTTTGCCCCAAAAACATGTAAACCAGCTAACCAGGAATAAAAAGAGAAAGCAAGATTACTTAAATTTGAAGTAGATGAGAAATTAAAGGAAAAGTAAGGGTAAGGGCCTTAATGAGGCTTAGACAGAAAATGTTTTAAACCCTATCAACTTTGTCTGAGTGTAAGGTAAATTTGGTTCTAAAAGTAAGGCCAGTGGCAAATCAAATAGCATTTAGTTTTTTCCTTAGCACTTCTATTAATTTTTCTTGAAATTATTAAGTAGCAGATATGGCTTTAACTTGTGAAATGACATGTTGTTTTACATTTTTTGTGAACGTGTATTTTGTAAGAAATTAAAAACTTTAATAAATCAGTTAGTAAATATTGATGTTGTAATTATTTTATCGAAGGTTCTTTTCCTCATCATTTTATATAAAGAAGAACACACTTGTCTTTGGTAATGCTTCTCCTCTATAAAATCAATTGAATTAATTACAAGTATAGAACTTAGACATAAAATGAAAATACACTTTAACATTTGAAAAATGTTTCATCTAATATAAAGAATTTTTAGATTTTATTTTGCATTTTATTAACTTTGCATAGTAATTATTCTTGCATATTCCTTTAGACTTCAAAGTACAAAGGTTTTTGCTGCCTCATTGAGCTGCTATTGGCATGAAGCTCCCTTTTAATTCAGTGGGCCATGAAGCAAGATGTGAAACTGCCAGTGTTGTAGATTGTGTATAATCTGGAGTTAATATTGGTTTTTGTGAGGACCCCACCCCCCACTTCCTGTTTTCTTCACCTGCAAGTCATTACTGCACATACTTTCTTCACTGTTTAGATCATGTAACATGGTGGTTTAAATAATCCTTAGCAATTTACTGTATTCATTAGAACAACTAATTATAGCAGATTGGTTCAGAATACCAATGAAGTTTGAATTTCTGGTTTCCATTTTAAAATTTATTTAAAAAAATTCTTTGTTACTTTAATTTTTGAATATTTATTAATTCTTTTGTTAAAATGTTAACATATGTTTAGTCTTTATTGACTAATTGAAAGAATTTATTAAATTTCTTTTTATCCTCCTAAATCCTTATTAAGTAAAAGAATACATTGCATTTCTTTTTCTGTGTATGTTTAATGTGTTAGATTTTATTTAAAAACATAGCATTGGCATTCGTAAATATATCTAAAAGCTTAAATCTTAGAATTATTCTCTGGATCTAATTTAGGCAACAAGTACTATTTATTATAATTTTTTTTCTACTTTTGCTAGGTTTTGTCCTTGTGCTAAAAGTCACTTTTTCACCTTTTATAAAGCATTGGTATTACATTATACTATACATGACAGGATTTTAATGTTATGGTCTTTATGTTTGTGGCTTAGTATTTACTTACCATAATGTTGTCTAAAAAGTACATTTATTTAATCCTACGTGTAAATTCAATTTTTTTAATACTTTGGAAAAAGATTGAAAAACCAGTTTTGACTTAGTAAATCTCTTTATGTTCTTGTTTGAAAATTCTCTTCAATTTATGTCTGAAATTTTGTATGAGCTAATATTACTGTCAAATGCAGTAGCCAATTTTTATTAGAAATATTATTTGCCAGATGGCTTGCTTAAAGTCAGTTAAAATAATCTTTTAAAAATGGTCGTTATAAAGCTTTTAATGAGTATTACAGGCAGTCTTATTAAAATTTCTTTAAGTATTAAACAAGGTACCTTCAGGCAATTAATGTAGGTTAGGGAACCTTTCAAGGTAAAATGGAAAGCTAAGAAGAATGAAATAATTTGAAAGGCTGAATCTGCATTTTATATATTCCTGAGAGGATATGCATTTCCTATAGCTTATTTTACTCTATAGATTTTTTTTGTTGTTAGAGCTCCTGCTTAATTCTAGTTTAACATTCATGAAGATTTTCAGCCCTTAAAGTTTTGAGTGCTAAAGTAAAATAAAGCAAATCTGAGGTAAATTGTACTCCTTGGTATCAAACTTAGTTTTATAGTCCTAGAATTTTATTTTTGTTAAATATCATCTGTTTTACCAAAACATTTTAATAGTTAGATCTTTTATGTGAAATTGAAACAAGGCCAAAGTATTGATTAGTAGCTTTTTTGAAGTGAACACATTGTCTTGCTTTTACGTAAGAACTTATACTTTTTAAAAGTAAATACAACGGTATGGAAGAGCATTTGAATTCGCTTAGAGTATAAATTGGAAGCAGTGTTTTAACTTTTTAGCCAAGGAAATTAATTTTTCTTCTGTTTTCACATATGAAAAGATAGTAATTGCTTTTAAAAGATATTTTGGGCCACAGCCTATTTAAAATGTCCTTTAATTTTACATTTATTATAAAATTCTTAATGGAACTCTAGAATACCTGCGGGAATTCACAGCAACACTGTCACTAGTACGTTACTAATGCGTCGTTGTAAGATATGAAAGGTATTCAAGTGTATTCTCATAGGGTATTTTATTCTCCATTATTGCTAAAGCCATGTTGTAAGGAGTTTACTCTTTAATAAGGTTCTTTTAAAAATTTTAATCTTTGCAATATTGCTATCGCAGAGCACTTCTATTACAAAGTCTTGAGGTACAAATTTATTTTAGGATAATTCTGTTGTAATAAATTGCTTATTTGAATTACTTCTATACTAGAACCTTAAAAAAATTCCTTTAACTATGTTAATTAGCCATATTTGTGCCTAAAATATTATTAAATTGTTGGATTTGGAAAGAAATTTACATTCTACTATATGTTTACTTTTTATACTATGAAATGTTAACAATATAGTTTTTTTCAGAATTAAATTCTGAATAGTTACTATTTTAAAAATCTGTAGGTCATTTTAAGAATATGTTCATTTTTGTAGGTAATCTTGGCATAGGAGATAAAAATGCATTTGTACCTTTATTTTTGTTTACAGATATAAAAAGTACTCCGTGTGTGTGTATGTGTTGTATATGATCTCCTTCTCTCCTTATCTCGCTTTGCATATGTTTTTGTGTTCTTATTTAGCTGACAACTCAGAAAGGAAAAAGTCTTGACATCATTTCATTCAGCTCTACAGCACTTGAAATGTGTAAGAGGACTTCATGTTAAACAGGATAAATAACAGCCTATATATAAGAATTAGTTAGTAATTAATTTGCTTGTGTTATTAATATATGTGTATACAGATTTATGTAAATAGTGGCCCTGATTTAGTATCAATATAGATATTATGAACATTTACTATTATTTTGTTAATTAAAAAAATTAGACTTCATATCTGAAAGTAAGTCAGTAAAAGAGAAAATAAATATACTTTTGGTTGTACTTAACAATTGTTCCATTGTACAAAACAACAAGGATCATTTCCAAACGGCCTCAGGTGAAAGCTAATGGGAAACAATTTCAAACTGGTCTGAATTCACTGGTAAAAAAAATGTGTCTTAGATAAACATCTGATCTAAGTTATAGTACTTTGTACTACTCTTTTTGTGATTAGCTTCAAATTTTTTTATTTTAATAAATATGGTTGGCATTGCTAGATGAAATAAGACCCTATTATATTGTCTTTAATGTGGATTTTATAAAAATAATTTTTTGCAGATTTTGATTTATGAGTCTAAAACAGCCTTTTCTTATTATGGAATGTTAAAATTTTTTGTGAAGTGTTCTCCATAAAGTGGATATTTAGGTTGACATCAAATGCTTATGGAAAGGCATAATTTAAAATAAAAGACCTGTTGCTCTTTAGTTTTTTTCTTTTTAACTTTCATATTACACTTTAACTTTTCTTACAGGAGAGTTCTGATCTCCCTGTTGCTCTGCTTTTGGCTCAGCATAAAGATAGATCTACGCAGTTGGAAATGCAACTTGAGAAACCCAAACCTATAAAACCAGTGACATTTTCCACAGGCATCAAAATGGTAAGCTGCATTTTAATTGCTTGTTTGAAAATATATTTCAGGGATTATACTCTATAATTTTATATTGATTTTTACAGATAAACTGAAAGGTTAGACGTTTAAGAATAATGTCTGATCTTGTCTAGGTGTCCAGAAATATGAATATATGCAGTGTAAGAAGAAAGGGAAAAGTAATAAATAATTTTCAAAGTACACAACACAATTTAGTTGTGTATGATAATGGGTTTATATGTGTTTTCTTATTCTACATAAATTTTTAAGCTTATAGTATAGGAAAACATTTCTTAAAAAAAAATGCAGACTTCTGGGTTTTGGTATGGCATATAAGAAGCTTGGAAATTGCCACTTCATCCTCACAACAAGTAAAAAGCTGGACACACTGAAAAATCAACAACTTTTCTTAGCTCTGTAAGTGAAGAAAGGTCAAAAGGCAAATTATTGCCTTTAAAATTGGAGAGATTGACAGAGAATACAGAGATTCATAACTTAATAGAGCAGTGACCTTTCTGGGAACCA